CACTGCAAGCATTCTGCGATGAATTCCTGCTGCACTTTCTCCTTCGGCAGTCAGAAATCGAATCACTGCACGCTGCTCTTCCTTGGACGCTTCCATCTTGTACACCGCCATATTCGAGAAGCCCCTGTCAGCGCGACAATGGCAGGGGCGCCAACCCCTGCGCGGTGTTGCAAACCGACAAGCAGGGCTACCACCCCACCAACGATGACCACTGGTCAGCGCTCCTGTATTACATCACAGGCTTCCGCTACGTTTCATTTGACTGCCCCTCGTATTTGGTCGCCTATATTCAGATCTCTTGGGGGGGGAAAAAAAGAAAGAAATCCATGAACTAACTTTATGTTATTCAGAACAGTAACGTTCAGCCGTTGTTAACCTGTTTTCTGAAATTCATTAGATGCTTTCAAAATTTTCACTCTCCCTCATGAAACGAGAATCATCCAACTCCTTCTTATTTTTCATGTCTTCTTTTAATTAACTTGTAAAAACTAAATTGAAAACCTGTTGCACGTATACCATTTCTAAAAAACTTGGGAGGGGTAAATTTTACCGTTTTGCAGGAGTATGAAAATAGTGTCATTTATGGTGAGATATATGTTTCTGGTGTGCTGGCATGTATCATATTGTAAGAAAGACTCGAATATGAACAGAAAATTAATGAAGATATTTCACTGATCCAGATGGATGACTGGATGAAATTTAAGCAGAAAGCAAATTAGCCATCTATAAGAAATTTGCCAATGCTGTGGTGACCATCTGGCCCTCCCCCGATTTTATCGTCTCTAGAAAAAATTAATATTTATCCTTTTTTGCGACTAAGGTGGCATCGCTCGAAACGCTCCGCTGTGGCTCGGGCTCCAGAGACAGGGCTCGACCTGGGAATGGCTGGACGGAACCCCCTTCGACTACGACAACGTCAACCCGAATTTCCTCTTCGATGACGAGTATGCGATCATGTGGAAAGATGAATGGGGCAACGACGATTGCGGCGAATCCAAGCCCTTCGTCTGCCGTCTTCGGGCGGACGAATGCCCGGATTCGACCTGGCGCCAGGAGGGTCTCGATTGTTTCCTCGTCGTCAGGGATTCCCTCCCGTTCGCTTCCGCCGTTTCGTATTGCGAAAACACAAGCCCGCCATCGACGCTTTTGACGGTGCCGGACGACGCGAATTACCAATACCTCGTTGCTTTCGTTCTCAACGGCTTGGAGCCAGACGAAGACACGGATTTCTGGATCGGGATCGAGAGGCAAGGATCGACCTGGAGCTGGATCGACGACACCGCGTCCGAATTGGCCAACTGGGCTCCGGGTTACCCTCTTGAGGATTCTGGAAAGGATTGCGCCACCATCACCCTCAGTTCTTGGGACGATTTCCCCGGCTATTTTGCCTTCCCCTTTGTTTGCAAGAAAGTCCTTTCACGGCGACCTAATTGAAATCGGGACGGGATAACCCAGAAACCAAAACGTTTGTTCTATGCCCGATTGTGAAACATCAATAAACATGGAGCTATTTTGCCTTCCCCTTTGTTTGCAAGAAAGTCCTTTCACGGCGACCTAATTGAAATCGGGACGGGATAACCCAGAAACAAAAACGTTTGTTCTATGCCCGATTGTGAAACATCAATAAACATGGCAGGTTAGAAGACGAACATATATCTTCTGTACTATGTTACTTCAAGTTTTACATTTATTCTAAGAAGAGAATAAATGCATCTGGAACATAAAACCAACATCTGCAACTCCGGTGAACAGATTCTTTACGATATTTTCTTGGTATTTGAAGTTTAATGCACGTAATCTTACACTTGACAAGAGTAACGTCAATGATTGGATTAGGTAACTGCTATTGCCCCCCCCCCCTTCCACGCACACACACACACACATATCAACCCGTTACAGCCTGAGGTACTCGTATGCATATGGCAGCCGGCGTTTTTTCATAATGGAGGAATTTCATGAGGTTAACAGAGGTTCCACAGTTTCACACAAGGAGACTATACGCACGAGCATTCGGAAGTGGTCCTAGGATTGTCATTGTTTCTCATATTACATGCATGCCGAGAAAGGCTAATGAGATCCTAGAGAGGCCCTTGAGCAGAGAACTAAGGCCCCTCAGCAAGGGAGAAACTCATGGAACACAGCTTGCCAGTTCTCACCGGTGTTATAGATATATGCCAAAATACATTAATTCATCAAATGTTACCATGTTTTGTATCGTCTCTGTATCACACTCCATCCTGTAAACCAGAATTTCTGTAGCCTTTCAGAACTGGGCTACATCTTTAGCCAAATGATTTTCAGAATATACTCGCCCTTACGGAAATGTCCTATAGGAAACCTATAGTTATTTCTTATAGGAAACCTATAGACTTTCCTATAGGTTTTTCAAACACGAAAAACCTATAGGATCTTATAGGATCGCTATAGGGTCTTATAAGACTCCTGAATTCGGGGAGGATTTTTTGGGTTTCGAAATCCAGGCATTACGACGGAAAAAGCGACCGGGGTTAATAATGGGACAGCATTTTGGTGTAAATCAAAAACCGAAAAGGGGTTTTTCCATGGAATGGGGGACATGCATTATTAATACCAGTACTGCGAGGGTCTGCGCAATTTAAGACCCCGCCCAACATATGTCGCTGGATTCCATGTATGCTTCCTTCGGTAGAGAGAAGTAGAATTCTTCTCTCGACCTAAGGAAATATAAGACAGAACCTGCGAGCACGTCTCTTTACTGAAACTCCATTTAGATAGAGTCCACTCATTTTCGTACGTGGTTTTCAAAAGGAATAAGGGCATAATTCTTCACGGGACTCAATGATTCTATCTGGAAGATGGGGATGACAAATAAGGAAGTGTCGAAGTTTATTGATTGCTACAATGAGGTAAGGTGAGACATTTGGGGATGTACAAAACTCTCTTGTGAGAGATGATTCCTTGGGTAAGGGGAGGGCACTTTTGTGCCCTTTGAGAAATGTGAGAACCCAATACTTCCATCTAGTGGCCTAGAGGAGAACTTCAAACGGAACCCTATAGGCCTATAGGGTTCCGTATAAGTCCTATAGGAATCCCTATAGGTCCTATAGGTCCTATAGGGAACCCTACAGGTCTTATAGGGAACCCTATAGGTCCTATTGGGAACCCTATAGGCCCTATAGGAACCCTATAGGTCCTATAGGGAACCCTACGGGTCCTTTACAGAGCCCATTGGGTCCTTTTCCGTCGTGATGCCTGGGTTTCAAAACCCAAAATATCCTCCCTGAATCCTATAGGTCAAGAGACCTATAAGACCCTATAGGTTTTTCGTGTTTCAAAAACCTATAGGAAAGTCTATAGGTTTCCTATAAGAAATAACTATAGGT